TGGGGTGTGTGTGTGTGTGTGTGTGTGTGTGTGTGGCCTCTCACAGTGTACTCACGGTGTGTGTGTGTGTGTGTGTGTGTGTGTGTGTGCGTGTAGATGGGCTCTCACAGTGTACTCACGGGGTGTGTGTGTGTGCACGTGTGTACCATTAGGTGCCTGGGCTCCAGGTGGGGGGCTTGGGTTCTGTCTCTGCCTCTCTCACTCATGCGCTGTCATAGCATGGGGGCTGGTTTCTATTGTCCCCACCGCCACCTCATCTTGTGTGCCTTCTGCATCGAGGTCTCTAGCCTCTCTCCCGTGTTACAACATACTTTCAGGCCAAAGGACACCTGCACTCTGAGTTGTTCTGAGGCATCTTTCTGGGTGGTGAGATCCTCGTTTTGGGCCACAGCAGAGGTTCCTTTAAAGCCTGTTGCCATTAGGTGCCATCCAGTCACCCACAAATCACAGCAGTCCTGTGAGCAGCAGAGCTGAGCCTTGCCGGGACTGCCCCGTCTTCTCCGCCTGTACAGTGCCCCTGTCCACTCTTCCAGTCACCACGTTGGCCTTGTTGAGGTCATCCTCTCCTTCAGGGACCTTCTGCTGTTCTCAGCACAGTGCTTCCCTCCAAGGATTGGACCCTCTTGACAACACACCCCAAGTATAGAGATGCATTTTCACCCTCTCGGCCTCTCAGGGGTGTCCAGTTGCTCCTCCTCCCACACAGGCTTGTTTGTTCTTTGGGCAGTTGATGGGCTCTTCAGCACCCCCTCTTCTCCAGCACTACAGTCAGTCCTTCTTCTGTCATCTTGATTCATCACTCGACTTTCAAACGCGAAGGAAGCAGTGGAAAAAGTTCTCTCTTGGCTCAGATGCATTTGCTCTTCCTGCTGACGTTGTCTTGGAACTTTGGAAAGTAGCCTCTTCCAGTGCAACATGTTTTTTGGTTTCTTTATTTTTTTTTAGAAGTTATAGTTCTTTATTTACAAAATCCGAATACATTGTTTTTGAGAACAAATTCTTCCCATTTCCCTCGCCCCTTCATCAAATCGTACAGCCCTCCAGCCCCTGCACATCCTTATCGTTTCCTGACTGCTGTGACTATGCGTGCTGATTGTGGATTCACTGCAATCAAAGTGTGAAGACTCCAGTCTTTTCTCCATCTATCATGACAGCGGAACCTGGTGAATGGCAAGACTGTCCAGTCCCTGCATCAGCACTTTCCTGTCTTTTTTGTCTGACCCCACCCAAAGGGCGCCCTTGGCTGGATGTGAGCTTTGGGCTGGTGTCTGCCTGGCTCACCCAGCAGAGCCTGTCCCCTGTCCCTCAGAAGGTTCTCAGGAGCACACAGTGCTGGTTTCCCAGCGGTGCACAAATGGCTGCCCCCCGCCCCCCACAGTTACTGCCTGCTCCAGCTCCCTCCGACCTGCTCCACCTGCTCCCAGTTCCCTCCAGCCCCTCTCCACCTGCTCCCAGCTCCCTCCAGCCACTCTGCCTGCTCCTGCCCCAAGAACACGCTAAGCTTATGAGCGTGACTGACAGGCAGGTCTGCTGACAGCATGGCACGGAGGGTGTCCAGGGGAGCTGCCCAGGCCAGCAGGTCTCAGTGGTGCCTGAGGGCCTTGCCCACACAGACTGGAGCCGGGTCAGCACCCCGCAGCCCACCTCGGCTCGCCTGTGGCCTCAGCCCAACCGCACGCGTGCTTTCCTGCGAGAGTGTGAGAGGGGCATGCACACCACCAGCAGCGCCTCTGACCCCAGACGAGCGATGCTTTGGTGCCCTGGCCCCCAGCGTTGGCTGGCATGGGGGCCCTTGGACGATTCACCTGGGGTGGAGGGTGGACGGCAGGTCCACTTTATTGGCCAAAAAGGAATAAAGCCTTTTTTAAAAAAAAACCTTCTCTTAAGAAAATGTTTAAAAAAATTTAAAAAAGAAAAAAAAATCTTCTCTTGCAGATAAACTTCAACCTGGCCCTGCTCCTCCTCATGGAACTGCTCATGGCCGCCACTGTGATCATCTCTGCCCGGTCCAGTGGGGAGCCCCTGGGCAAAGAGAAGGTGAACACAGCTGGGGAGCTCTGTCTGTCCTGGGCCCACTGACACCTCAGGAGCATCACTTGCCCCAGGGAGTACCTCCCGCCCCAGGGAGCACCATCTGCACTACGGGAGCTCTTACCAGCACCAGGAGGCACCTTCTGTCCTGGGAGCATTGACTGCCCCGTGGAACACTGTTCCCCCAAGAGCATCTGCAGCCCCAGAAAGCACCTCCTGCTCTGGGGAGCAGTAACTACTTGGCTCAGGGGACACTGCCCCCCCCCCACCCTGAGCACTTAAACCTCCTGGGAGCACTTCCTGCTCAAGGAGCATTACTTCTTCCTTCCCTCCCCCATGAACACTGTACGGAGAGGGTGGTTCTGCCCTCAGTTCCACAGATGGGGACCTGCTCTCAACTCCCCCATGGTAACGCCCAGGAGATGGGCCTCTGATTGCCTGCAGTCCCTGGTAGCAGAGCTGCCATGCTGTGGGGCCTGTGCCCCCTGTTCTGGAAGCAGAGAGGGGAGCTACAGCTCCACAATCTCTATGTGTGCAGGGCTCAGCACACTGGTCTCCAGAACTGTTCCTAGGGGCCCAACTCCTCCTGTGACCCCAAGGAGCTGTCTGTGTCACGGTCCAGCCCCACACCCCACTGTCCCTGCATTCTGGGGGAGCTGTGCTGGGAGTCCAGCCTACCCACTGTTCCTGAGCTCTGGATATCTGTCTGTGCTGGGGGTCCAGCCCCACCACTGTCCCTGCACACGGGCTATCTGTGCCAGGGTCCAGCCCCCTCACCATCCCTGCACCCAAGGGAGTTATCTGTACTGGAGGTCCAGCCCTCCCTCCCACTATCCCTTACCTGGGGGAGCTATCTGTACTGGGATTCAACCCTTTCACTGTCCCTGCACCCTGGGGAACTATCTGTGCTGGGGTCCAGCCCCCTCATTGTCCCTGGACCCAGGGGAGCTCTCTGTGCTGGGGGTCTGACTCTCTCACCATCCCTGCCCTCAGGGGAACTTTCTGTGCCAGGGGTCTGACCCTTCCATCCTCCCTTGACCCAGGGGAGCGGTCTGTCCCTGGGTCTGACTCCTGTGCTCTGGGAGGGTTGCCAGTGTGCTGTGGCTCGTTGGCCAGGGCATGGTCTTTTTGCCCACGGGTCCTGACCTCTGTCTCTTTCTAGGCTCCCACGGTGGACAACACCAACATTTTGGATGAGGTGGTCTTTCCTGCTCGTGTCCTGAAGTCCTACTCAGTGAGAAAGCTTGTTGTCTTATTACCTTATTTATGTCTGAGTGAGTGTTGAAGCTGAATGAGATCACCAGATTGACTTCTCCAAATCACTCTGGCCGTGTAAACAATGACTGGGGCCCTGTGGCTGCCCGTGGAAGCCACTCCAGTCCATGTCTCAGCCCTTCACGTCGTTAGATTGAAGGAGGTGGCAGCGGCGTGGAGCCCTGCCTGGCCGGAGCCCTGCTCACGCTGCCCTCCCTGAGCCCATTGGTCAGCAGCGTGCCCTTCCGCCTCGTTCTGGGTCTTCCTCCTTTGCTCAATCTCAGAGACACTACTCTTCCCTGGTGAATCATCTACATTAACTGAGATGGGGTTTTGCCACCCCCACTTTTACATAGAATGCTGGCTGCATTGCTTCCGAGACAGATTTGTTTTCCTTCCTGTCTGTCAGGTGCCACTGCGTCAGCCACGACCCACAGTGACCCTGTGGGCATAGACCTGGACCTTGTCTGCCCTGCACCACCCCCACAGACTCTGACAGGCTGCCTGCTGGGCAGCCCCTGTGCCAACCCTTCACCTCGGAGGTCCTCTCATTCACTGACCCTACCTTTCCCAGCATGCAGTCTTTGTCCAAGGATTGGCATCTCCTGGCAACATACCGAAACATGTGAGACTAAGTCTCGCCATCCTTGTCTCTAAGGAGCGCTTTGGGTGTTTTTGTTTTTTTTATTTTATTATTTTTGTGTGAGTGTATCGTCAAATCAGATCTGACTGGTACAGGAGGAGATTGTCCCTCCTTTCCCGGCAGAGCATCTGGTGGATTTGAACCGTGCGCCTCTAGGATTGTATTTGCAGCTCCTTGCCACTAGGCCACCAGAGCTCCCCTCTAAGGAGTGCTTTGGTTGCACTTTGTCCAAGACAGCTTTGTTCGCTCTTTTGGCCATCTGTGCTTCTCACTGACACCACATTTCAGACCTCAATTCCTCTTCAGCCTTCCTTAGTCATTGTCCAACTTTCAGAAGCCTAGGAGGCAATTGAAAACACCATGGCCTTGGTCAGACACACTTCAGTCTTCAGAGTGACAGCTTTGCTCTTTAGCACTTTGGAGAAGTCCTTTGTGATGGCTTTGCCTAGTACAGTACTTCCTTTGATCTCTTGACTGCCACGGGTACTGATTCCGGGCTGACTGATAGGAAACCTCTGAACAATGCCAGTCTTTTCTGTTTATCATGATACCTGCTGGACCAGTAGTGAGGACATTTTTTCTTTGTGCTGAGGTATAACTCACCCTGAAGGCCATGCAGGCTTTGACCTTTGTGGAAGTGCTTCAGGTTTGCCTTGTCTCAAGCAGGCAAGGTTGTCCATTTCCTCATGCAGGTTTTTGGGTCTTCCTCTACTCCCGAGGCTACATTATTCTTCATATAGACTGTTCTGCTCAGCTTTCAGATTGGATAGTTTCATGAAAGGATGCACTGATGACACACATCACTCCTAATTTTAAACCGTGTAATATTCATTCCTTCATTCTGTTTGAACAACAGCATCTTGGTCCACATACAGGCTACTACCCATGAGTGCCATGAGGTGTTCTAAACGCCTGTTCTTCCGTGTGTTGTGTGTAACTTCCTGTGATCTGTAGGGCTGACTGTCAGTCTTCTAGTCCTCCCTGGTTTTGGTGAGGTGGGATTCTTGTACAATTGGTGACTCTCTCTGCCCCTGGGGCTGCTATTTGTTGTTTGCCATCTCATAGAGTTTTGCTATTGCTGCAGGGTTAAGACAATATTTCACTGTTGTTGTGTTTTTTGTTGGGTTTTTTTAAATTTTATTACTTTCTCTGTGCGTGTACCGTCAAATTGGATCTGACTGGTACAGGAGGAAATGGCCCCTCCCTCTCCGGCAAAGCATCTGGTGGATTCGAACCACATACTCTGGGATTGCAGTGCAGGTTCTTGCCACTAGGCCACCAGAGCTCCCCTTCACTGTTGTTTTTATTTGCATCTCTCTACTAGACAGTGATTTTGAGAATTTCCTCATGTGTTGGCCATCTGAATATCTCTCTTGGTGACGTATATTTTCATGCCCTCTGCTTATTTTGTGGGGTTTTTGTTGTTGTTGTTGAGTTCTTAGAAGCTTTTTTTTTTCTATTTGCAATTTTTTTTTAAATTTAGGTTGTTTATTTTTCATTTCAATGAACATCTACAGAGATTTTGGGATTCCATTCATTTACTGTTGCACCCTTCTCCCCCCACAAACCCCACCCCCCTCCCCCCCCGAGTTCTTAGAAGCTTTTATAAACTTTAGAGACTAGTCCTTTGTCAGCTATGTCATTGCCGTACATTTTTCCCAGTCTGTAGTCTCTTTGTAAATTTTGTTGAGAAGTCTTGTTGTGTGTAAGGACTTAATTTTTAGGAAGTCTCAGGGGCCTAATTTATACTCTGCTGAATGTACATTTTCAGTTTTATTTGATAGTTTATTTATGCCACCATTATGGATGGAGTTAAAAGATTGACATGATCAGTGGTTTCATTTTACTTGGATCCCAATCACCACCCATGGCAGCAACAGTGAAGAAATCAAGGCATGCTGCACTGGGGAGATCTGTCAAGGACCTTGTTACAGTGTTCAAGAGCAGGGATGTCAGTTAAAACATTAAGGTGCATCTGACCCAAGCCATGGTCTCCTTCTCCCTCGACCTAGCCACCCTGCCCATCCTCCCTTCCCTTCATCCTATTTTCTCCATCCTGCCGCGTTGCTCCCCCATTATGGACGTTCTCCCTTCCTCCGGGGCCCTCTGTACTGTCTCTATTTCTCCCCTCCTCTATCCCAATCACCTTGTCCATCCTCTGCGTCTCCTTCCTAACCAGTCTCCCCTCCACGCCCTCTGCCTCTGGTTGCCCCGGGCCTCCACCTTCAGGCCAGCACAGTGTTGTCACGGCCTCAGTGGCCCTGTGTCTCATGTTCTGTGTGACATGCTCTGATGATGATATGTGGCCCTGTTGCCCATACCTAGCAGTGTCCGTAGGTCATGAAGGTCCCTCAGAGCAATGTGCTGGAGGAGCAATGGCCTGATGAGGTGGCAGGATGGGCACGTTAGGGTGGGTATGAGAGGAGTGCCTGGCTGTCGGGACCAGGGCCTCACCCAGGGCAGACCCAGGTGGCACCATGCTGGCCAGGGCGGCCAGGTGCAGCCCAGTCTGCCCGCAGTGAGGGTCCGAGAGACACCCTGACCTGGAGGCTGGGGACACTAGGAGTGGCAGAGCCTAGAAACCAAGAGATCTGAAGGACTGAGACATGGGGGTCTGGGTACTTTGGGGATCTGGGGGACTAGGAGTACTGGCTAGGAGTACTGGGGGAAACTGAAAATGAGGAATTGCCCATGATGGGTGGGTGGCTAGCATGACGGTTGCCTGAGTCGGCCAGGAGGAGCCTGGTGGATTTCGGGGAGCCCCTCTCCACTTCCTAATGTGACACAGGGGAGGTTCCTCGGGGTCCTGTGAGGGGCTGAGGATGGGGACACAGGTGTGAACCCTCAACTCAGCATCGTGTCCCCCGACTGTGCTCCTCTGGCCAGGTCATCGAAGTCATAGCCGGCATCTCAGCCTTTCTGGGCGGGGTTATCACTCTGAATGTGGACGATGTGGTCTCAGGCCCCCACCTGTCCGTGACCTTCTTCTGGATACTAGTGGCTGTGAGTACACGCTGCTGGCCAGCCCTGGACACATCACACCAGAGGCTGGGTCTCCAGGTCTACCGGGGAGGTGTGGGCAGGAACGGGGGCTGGGGGAGCCCCTGACGAGGGAGAGGATTCTCAAAGTCTATCCTTCCAGGAGGACTTGGGGATTGAGGAGCATCTAAGTCAATGTACTTGTTAAGATAGAGCTGTGTACCCCAAAAAATTAGGTAGCAGTGCTAGCCCTGGGCCCATGAAAAGAACCTTGTCTGGAAATGAGTTTTCTTGGTTATGTTAATGAGGCCATATTGGAATAGCTGAGTGTGGCCTTAATTCCTCGGAGTTTTAAGAAGAACAGAGACATGGGGTGGGTGGGTGACAGTACAGAAAGAGAACCCTGGCTTCCCAGAAGCTTTGAGAAGCGGGGAGACAAAGGATCTTTCACTGGGTCCCACAGAGGGGGAGCTGAGCCCTGTCATACCCTAAATTCAGAACCAAAACTGTGAGGCAGTAAGTGCCTGTCCTTTACCACAATGTACCTGTGGTGCATGTGGCACGGCTGCCCTCAGGCACAGAGACAGTGCCAGGTACTTAGTTCAATGTGCAGGAAATGCTTAATAAACAGCCGCAGTTTTAGATATGGTCCTAGCATATGGGTGCCAGAGCCCTGGCCAGACAGTGTTACCCATCCATGTGCCCTGACACAGCGGGGCACATGCACACACACACTCAGCACTGGAGACTGAAGGCAAAGTGGTCAGAGAACAACACCAGGTCCCCCTGGAGCTCACGGTGCAATGGTGCTGAGGGCTCAGGAGGGAACTGTGAGCCACGAAAATGCTCCAGGAGGCACAACGTGAGAGTTGAGCCCTACCTCACATCACACACAAAACTGAATTCTGAAGGGGTTCAAGACTCAACTCCAGAAAAGGAGACTAGGCCCATGTCTTTCCTAGACTAGAACGAAAGGCTCAAAGCTGGAAGAGGTGTACATTTTATGATATAAAGATGGAAAACTCTATTGAAACAATAAAAACAATTTCTAAGATATATTTGTCTTTTGGCTGTCCAAGGGATGGTCAGTGCTCTTCTCCAACACCACAGCTCAAAGGCATCAATTCTTCTGTCATCTGTATTCACTGTCCAGATCTCAGTTGCATAGCAAGTGATTGGAAAGACCATGGCCTGAATCAGATGCACCTTAGTTATCAATCTGCCATCATTACTCTTCAATAATTTGGAGAGGTCCTTAACTGTAGACTTTCCCGGAGCAGAGCATCTCCTGATTTTCTGACTGCTGGTACCAGGTACCAAGGCTGTTGATTGTGGATCCAAGTAAGATGAAGTTGTTGACAGTTCCAGTCTCCTCTCCATCCATCATGATGTTGCCTATTGGTCCAGTGGTAAGAATCTTTGTTTTCTTGACGTTGAGATGTAATCCATACTGAAGGCTGCATTCCTTGGTCATCTTCTGCAACAAGTACTCCAAGTCCTCCTCACTTTCAAGCAAGCAAGTTTGTACCATCTACATAAGGCAGGTCTCTCGTCATAGAGTCCAACTTCTCAACTAATTTGCTCAGCATGCAGACTGAATAGGTATGGATAGAGAATACAACCCTGACACACTCCCTTCTTAATTGAAAGCCATGTAGTATTCCCTTGCTCTGTTGCACACCAGCCTCCTGGTCGAGGTATAGGTTTCACACGAGCACAACTGAGTTCCTCTCAGTGTCAGCCACAGCAGTCAAAGGCCTTTGCATAGCCAGTGAAGCGTAAATAGGCATTCTTCTGGTATTCCTTACTTTCAGCCAGCTTCTGTCTAATATTAGTAATGATAATCCTGGTGCCACAGCCTCTTCTAAATCCTGCTTGGACGTCTGGCAGTTCCCTATCTATGTTCTGTTCTAGCCACTTTTTAAATTAACTTCAGCAGTAATTTGCTTGCATGTGATATTGATACTGTTCTATAATTTCCATATTCTACTGGGTCACCTTTCTTGGGAATGGAAACAAATATGGACCTCTTCCAATCCCTTGGCCAGACAGCTGACCTTCAAATCTTCTGACCTTGACATAAATGTCAGATATATTTTGGCTAAAAGCAGAGAATACCAAAAATATGTTTGTGTTTTAATGACATTTAAAGACATTTGACTGTGTGGATCACAATCAATTGTCACTAACATTGAGAAGAGTGAGAATTCCAGAACTCATTATCGTGCTCATGGGAGATTTATTCCTAGTCCAAGAAGTGGTCATCTGACCAAGAGGACACTGGTGTGGAATCAGAAAAGGTGTGTGTCAGTGTTTCTCTGTCCTGTTCAGACTGTGTACTGAGAAGGTGGATTACATCAAGGAGAGCGTGGCATCAGAATTGGAGAAGACTCATCAACAACTTAGGTTGTACAGTTGACACAACCTTGCTTGTGGAAGCCAGAGGGTTGAAGAACTTCCTGAAGTTGTCACGGATTTCCTGTTGCCTGGATCCGCAGTCAAGATACCCAAGTATGTGTCGCATGGGGCGAATCTGCTGTCAAGGACCTTTCTGAAGTTCTAAAGAGCAGCATGTCAATGTGAAGACCCCATGTGTCTGATCCAGAGTGTGATGTTTTAAATGCCTTTCTATGCATGCTAAATCTGGACAGGGAGTAAGGAAGACTGACAAAGAACTGATGTCCTTGAATTGTGGTGTTGAACACCCAGATCCAAGATACAAGCAAGTCTGTCTTGGAGGAGATGCTACCAGGGTGCTTCTTAGAGGCAAGGGTGGGGAGACTCGGTCTTGAAGACTTAGGGCATGTGGTCAGAGGAGCCAGTTCTTGGAGGAAGACGTCGTGCTTGGGAAAGAAGAGGGTCAGTGAAAGCGGGAAGCCTTTCGGTGAGAAGGATTGACCCCGTGACTGTCACAGTGTCCATGCCTGCGGTCGTGAGGATGGTGCAGCACAGGGCAGGGATCGGTTCTTCACAGGGTCTCTGAGTCGTCCTTGGCTCAGACACTGAACCATGACAGCTCTGGGCTGTGGTCACCACAGGTCTGAAGCAGTCTGACAGCAGTGCGTGGACATATGAGAACAGAGAAGGAGCTGACCCATTCTGGGTGGTTCAATTCTGGGCATAAAACCTGAAGAAACTTTGGTCCAGTTTGTTACACAGTGAGTCGTGTCCACCCAGTACGTGCTGACCTCTTCACCACAGCCACCGGCCTGTGACTGTGAGCCTGACTGGAAATGCGCCTTCTTGGCTATGTTGGTGAGACCACGCCAGTGCAGAGTGGGTCCCCATCCTCCTCCCTTTAGAGTGATAACAGAGGATGGGCTCAGACAGAGGGGATGAGGATGGCCCACAGCAGAGATCGATGCATTGACAAGGCCGGGAACACCAGGCTGCTGGCTACTGGGAGTAGAAACAGGCAGAGAAGAACTTCGCTTCCAAACCATGAGTGAATGAGCTCCCCACTCCCCAGAATGATAGCGTGCTATCTGTGACATAGTTTGAAAACACTTGAAGCGGTAACCCCACACAGCAGGTCTGGGGCTGTGAACATCCCTGCGCTCAAGGATGGCTTCTCAGTCACCCCTTAAAGCGCTGTGAATTTGCTTCCCTTTGAAAAGGTGAGCGAACACCTGTTCACAACTAATTCTTCATGCCAGTAATCTCCCGTCCTTGCATGGGGGAGTTTGAAGGCAGTGAAAAGGCTCTAAGGCTTTTTTGGAACCAAAGCTTCCCAGCCACTGAGTCAATTCTCACTCCTGGTGACCCCGTAGGACAAACAAAACTGTCCTGGGGTTGTCTGAGCTGAGTGTTTACAGAAGCAGCTGTCTCCTCAGCAGGAGGCCTTGAACTGGCAGCCTGTGCTTCAGAGCTGCATCCTTTAGCCACTGTGCCAGCAGGTTCCTTTCCTGCGCACTTGTTCCGTCTGCCTGTTCATTTGGCTTAAAGGCACACTTAGGGCTGGCTTTCCTCTCGGGGGGCGGTGTGGATATGAGCTACGTGATGCGGGAGCACAGGGAGGCACGGGGCTTGAGTCCACCAGCTGCTGCTGGAGAAACGTGGGCAGTGTCCTCTGGGGCCGCTCACTGGCCCTGGCGACATGCTGGGGGGTCAGCAGGAGCTGGTTCTGACTCTACCGCACACAGAGGGCTCTGGAGTTGCGCTGCCCACCCACAGGCCTCTGGTGGCTCAGAATAGAGGTGGACAGTGTCCTCCCATGGGGTTTATGACCTTAGAAGCCCAATGGTGGGTCAGCTATGAGTCAGTCCTCACATGATGGCCCTGGGCTGAGCTAACACATGCTTGTAGGCCTGTCTCCAAGCACTGGAATGGGAGGGTGGGAGGGAGGCTGGGCAGTGGGCACGGAGGTGAGGGGCATCTGGTCTGGTCTTATCTGTCATGTGGGCTTTGTCTCAGAGAACTATACCTTTTTTAATATTTTTTAAAAAAATTGTGCTTTGAGTAACAGTTTATAAGAGATATTGTTTTCAGTCAATCATTTGTGCCCATTTTTTTCCATAACAATTACAACACACAGTGTCTGACCCTTCACGTCTTCTGTAATGCGGCTACCTTCACCTGAGTCAGTGTTCTTACTCCTGCCTCCTCCCGCGCCTCCCTCCCCCCATTCCCCCCCACTCCTTCCAGCTCCCTTCCCCCTCCTTCCTCCTTCCTCTTCCCTCTTCCCCATTCCCCTCTTCACCCTCCTTCCCCCTTCCCCTTTCCCCCTTTCCCACCTTCTCTCCTTCCCCCTTCTCCCCTTCCCCCTCTTCCCCCCTGGCTCCCAAAGCCTTAGAATGACCGTGTGTGTTGCCCTTCCCTTAGATTTTCAGAGCACCCTCCTCTACAGGGCTTGTCCTCTTGGGACTGATTGCTCTCACTCAGCATAATGTCCTCTAGAGTCACGCATCTTACACCACCTTGCACAAGCTCCTGTTGGTTGTCAGGGTTGCACAACACCCCGTTGTGTGAATGCCCCATCCACTCATTCACTGTGGGGTCTGAGGCTGTTTCTGGCCTTTGCGGTGGCGGCTCAGGCGGCAGTCAGCACGGATGTAAGTCTGCTGTCAGCTCAGCTCTTGCTTCTCTAAGGTGCACTCCTGGTAGTGGGACAGCACAGATGTCCTCTCTAACACTCTTCCTTTTCCTCAGTGTTTCCCAAGTGCCATTGCCAGTCATGTGACAGCGGAGTACCCCAGCAAGTGCCTGGTAAGTCCAAGTCTTTGTGATGAGGTCCTGCCCCGGGCAAGCAGGGCAGGGAAGCCAGTGCAGGGTCCTCTGGGGTGAGGTTGGTCATGTGAGCACAAGGCAGCCTGGCTGACACTGTCATCACTGGGTGAACTGTCCTGGCCCAATGGTGAGAAGTAGCAGAAACTTGGAAACAGGGAGAAGTCTGTGAATAAGCAGCTGTGACCCCACGGAGCTCACACCTCTCAGGGGGCCACTGAGAGATGGTGGCAGGTGACAAGCATGGCCAGGTATTTGATGGCATGTGCTGGGTGGTACCAGCCCAGACGCTTGGCCTGTGGGGCTGGAGGTGCAGGTGTGAATTTCTGAAACTGACTTGGGTCTCACTGGGGATTAAGGAGGTGAGGACAGGCGCAGAGTGGAGAATTGTGCATCGGTCACAAGACCCCACTGACACGCATGTGCCGGTGCTTTGAGCCCCCACAGCTGGGGCTGATTGGGCGGCTGTGGGCCCACGCCCTCCCAGTCACCTGCTCCCCACCAGGTGGAGGTCCTGCTTGCCATAACCAGCATCACGTCCCCGCTGCTTTTCACGGCCTCGGGCTACCTTTCCTTCAGCATTCTGAGGATTGTGGAGATTCTCAAGGATTATCCACCGGCCATAAAGGTACGCACCGCCCGTGCTGCTTCGGAGGCCCCTCGAGCAAAGCTGGCTGTTGGGGGATAAAGCAGCCACCAGGACACTGCAGGGCCTAGGACTTCGAGGGCCCCCGGGGGTGAGTCAGCGCTGGCTCTGTGGTGGCATGGATCCGAGTGCATCCTCCCAGCTTCCGGCTGCCCAGGGAGGCTCTGGGGGAACAGGACAGTGGCTCTGGAGCAGATCTGAAAGTGTGGTATGACATGAGACCCAGTTCACATTTTCCGTGGGGACAACCAGGTGTTTCTGCTCATTTCTGCCAGTGTCCCCATCGTGTCGGCCTGTACTTCCACCTGCACTGCCAGTGCCCCATTGCGCTGGCCTGCGCACCAGGTGAGGTGCCAGTGTCCCCATCGTGCTGGTCCACACACCAGCCCTGCACTGCCAGCCCCCCATCGCACCGGCCCGTGCTCCAGCTGAGCTCCTAGTTCCCCACATCGTGCCGCCTGCCCTCCAGCCCTGAGCTGCCAGTGCCCACCAGCCGGCCCACACCAGCTCTGCCAGCCCTCTTGGGCTGAGTGTGCTTCTGACTCTCCTCCTATCTCTGCTGTTTCCACAACTCTGGACCCACCTCATCTGTCCGTGTCCTAGTGCTGTGTCCAGGCCTCTGTCCAGGCACAGACTCCTCATGGCTCCCTCAAGCTCCCTCTGTCGTCAGCTTGTTCATTTGCATTTGAGATCAGGTGATTTTCATCCTGGCCCCGAGGTCAGCAGTAGGTGCTGGGGAGTCAGCTCTGACTCACGTGACCTGGAGGACGGCCGGGGACCCTGTGCAGCCCCACGTCGCCCTCACAGACTCTGCTGTGCAGAGCGTACAGTCCTGCGACAGCCTCGAAGTCAGTCTGTCTCCGTCAGTCTTCCTCTTCCTCTGACTCTGTGTCAGTCAGTCTGTCTCGGTGAGTCTTCCTCTCCCCCTGACTCTGTTCAGTCAGTCCGTCTCGGTGAGTCTTCCTCTGACTCTGTGTAAGTCACTCCGTCTCGGTGACAATCTTCCTCTCCTCCTGACTCGACTTTTCCAAGCACAGTGTCCTTCCTGTGGGGCGGGCTCCAGCTGCTAAGGGGAGCAGAGTATGTGAGATAAAGCCGCAGGACCATCTTCACCTCCCAGGAGCATGCTGGCTGCTTCTCTCCGAGACAAACGTGTCTCTTCTGTGGGCGGTACCTGGGATTTGATACCCTTTGACAACACCTCCACCCGAAGGTACCAGCCCTCCTCATATTTTGTCCACTTTCACACGTATGTGAGGCAGGTGGGCATACCATGGCATGGGCCAGGTGCACTTTCGTCCCCATGTCACCAAGGAAATACGGTAAAAAAGACCAGCCTTGGAGATGAGGGTTGGAGTGGGGACAGCAGACGTTTTCTAAACGTGCATGTGTCTGAGAGCTGAAGGGCTCCAGGCTTCCCAAACCCACCCACCCCTTTGTTAGAGGCACAGGGCTTGTGCAGGGCCACCTCGGGCAGCGAGTGGCCATTTCCACAGCATCTTCTCATGTCCATCTGTCCAGGCTCGTGAGCGTTCTGGGCAGACAGACCCAGCCTCGTCAAAGACCACTGTTTATGACCAGAAGGGGCGTAAATCGGGTGCAGGAGGAGGGCTTCAGGGGGAGCACATCCCAGCTGTGGGTGGTCAGCAGAGCCGAGGAGGGCTCCCACTAGTGAGCTCTTTCAATTGGGGAACAGATTGGGAACAGCTTTGAAATGGGCTTTGGCTTGATAAGGAACTTAATGACTTCTGCTAAGCTTAAGAGAAAGAGAATGCAAAACTTTGTTTTAAGAGAAAACACACACAACCCCCCCCCCAAATTAACAAACAAAAGAAAACAGCATAGCATAACTAACTTATGTTCCTTCTCAAGGCTCTCGCGAGTCTTCTGACACCGTCTTGGGGTTTGCCCCTCCTCTGCCTTTTGCTCTCTTCCTGGAGGACGTCCTGATGGCACCCCACACCTCATCTGGTCTGCGATCTTCAGTGTCAATGCTGCAGACCAATTAGGATTATTTTTAAAGTCAGGCGTTAATAGAGTCAAGGTCATGTTTTGGTTCCTGTGTACCAGTCTTCATTTCCTTCAGCCTCCGTTTGAACTTGACCATGAGTAACTGGCGGTCTGTTCCACAGTCAGTACCTGGCTGGCTGTGACTGCTGATCTAGGCGTCTGTAACGAGTTCTTGCATAGATGTAATCAGGATGTCGCCTGGGCAGCCTACCACGTGAGGCCCATGGGTATATCGGTGGCTTGTGTTTTTTAAAAAATATAATTGCAACGAATGAATCATTGAGTGTACAAGATTCACTCACTTGATTTCTGGCCTCACTCCTGTCACCAAGACTATACTTTCTTTTTTAAAAAAAATTACTTTAAAAAATGGTGATTTTAACAAGTTTACAGAAAAGTTGGATTTTTATTCATTATTATTGCACAGTTTCCTCCTACCCCAACCCAGTTCACTTTTAAAAACTGCATTCATTGTTGTATAATTTCCTCCCACTGCCCCACCCCAGTCTACTTTGCTATGCACCTCTTATTCTGAACTGTTGTCATACAAACAATGCCTAATCTTACATTCCTTTTAAACAGCTCTTTCCTTCATATGTTCCAATGCAGGGTTCATTATATATCCCCTCTTTTCTTAGTTTGTCCTCAACCCCCATGTCAGTCCCCAACCCCCATGTCAGTTTTTTACAACAGTGGCACTATGTAGTATTTGTCCTTTTGTGACTGAGATACTTCACTCAGCATAATGTCCTCCAGGGTCACCCATTTTGTATAATATTTCATGAGTTCCTTGTTTTTCTTTTTTTTTTAAATTTTTCAATTTTTTTTAATTATTATTTTTGTGTGTGTGTGTCTGTGTACCGTCAGATCAGATCTGACTGGTACAGGAGGAGATTGTCCCTCCTTTCCCGTTAGAGCATCTGGTGGATTCGAACCATGCGCTTCGGGGATTGCAGTGCAGCTTCTTGCCACTAGGCCACTAGAGCTCCCCTGAGTTTCTTATTTTTCAATGCAGTGTAGTATTCCACTGTGTGAATACACCTCTGCTTCTCTATACATTCATTTGTTGATGAGCACTTAGGTTATTTACAACTCTTTGCTATTGTGAACAAAGCAGCAATAAACATGGGTATGCATTTTCCAAACAGATATATGCAGTTCTGGTTTCTTTAGGGTATATTCCTAGTAGTGGAATTGCTGGGTCAAATGATATTTCTATTTCCAACTTTTTGAGAAAGTGCCATACAGCTTTCCATAGTGGTTGTACCATTTTACACTCCCACCAGCAGTGAATAAGGGTTCTAATCCCTACACAGCCGCGCCAGTATTTATTTATTGTTAAACTTTGCTATTATTACTGGGGTTAGATGCTATCTCATTAATTGTTTTTAAGTCTGTACTTTGTGACTATCATTTCTTCTTCATTGTTTCCAACTTTTGCATTTCAGTCACCAGTTATCATTATTGCATCTTTTTTTTTTATGTTTGATCAATTTGGCTTTAGATGTATATTTGATTAATAGTCAAATTAATAGCTCTCCCTTTCATGTATATGGATAGTGTGCTGTCCCTTACAGCATTGCACTTTAGGGTAGAACTTGAAATTGCCTTTGAACTCTGAACACAACACTGCTCAGTTTCTCATTCCCAGCACAGCAGATCACGCGGTCTGACTCTGTGAACAATGTCCGTCCGTCTCAGCTCGTTAACGTCCTGAATGCTGATGTTCATGCTTTCCATTTCAGTTTTGACAACCTGTAGTATTCCTATATTCACATTTCATACATTCCAATTATTAAAAGATAATTGTTTCCCTCATTTTGACTGACTTCCGATCTGGGCTCTACCTCTATTCCCATAGCTACCCATGTTTCTGTTGTTTGTAGGGTTTTCAGGGGCCTCCTGTTTCCGAAATGGACCGCCCAATCCTGCTTCCTACTCTGTCTTAATCAGAAACCTGTCCACTCTAGGACGACCCTTCTGGCATTTGACACCCTGGTGGCATAACACCCAGCATCATAGCAACCCATAACTTACAACAATAACAATATTTCTTTAGAAAGAAATATGAATTTTACTTCTGGCAAAGGGTATTGTCAGAAGTTATGTGCTATCTAGTCACCTGCGACTCATAGAGACCTAATAGCTCTGAACCCTGCCCTATCCTGGGTCAGTTGCACTGACTCAGACACACCTACCCCCTTGACCCCAGTTACTGTGTCAGTCCATCTCATCCGAGGTCTTCCTCTTTGGTGCTGTCCCTCCACCCTTCCAAGTGTGATATCCTTCCTCAAGGACTGGTTGCTCTTGGCCACATGCCTAAAGTATGTGAGACAGAGCTTTAAAATCCTTGCCTCCAAGGAGAAATTCAGTTTCACCCTTTCTCTTGGTGGTCCATGGTATGTTCAAGGCTCTTCTCCAGTACCATTGTGAGAAGTTAACATTTATTAACTGGGGAATTAATCTCCTTTTATTCTATAAACAAGCTACAAATGGGAGCTAGTCTCACCTAGTTGTTGTTGTTGTTAGGTGCTATTGAATCGAGTGCACCACATTTGACCCTAGGAAAAACAGATTGAAAGCACACATTCTCTGCTCTCAGCCAGGATCCATCTGACATCAGCAATGACATCCCTGGTGCCACAGCCTCTTTTAAACCCAGCTTGAGCTTCTGGAAGTTCTTTGGGTACTGTTCTAGCCCTATTTGAATGATCTTCAGCAATATTTTGGTTACATATGTTACTAATTATGTTTCCTGATAATTTCCACATTCTGTTAGATCCCTTTTCTCGGGAATGGGAACAAACACCATCCCTTCCAGTCATGCAGACAGATAGCCATCTCCCACATTTCCTCGCAGACTGGTGGGCATGTCCAGGGCTGCACCTGTTAGTTGAAACATGTCCGTTAGTCCTCCATAGATTCCTTGCACCTTCTTTTTTTGCCAATGCCTTCAGTGTAGCTTGAATTAGCTTCATTACTGCCAGCTCTTTATTATATGCTACTTCCTGAAATATTTCAGTGCCAGCCAGCTCTTTTTGGTGCAGTGACTCCGTCCACTCCGTCCATCTTCTTTTGATGCTTCCTGGATCATTCAAGATTTTGCCCATTGCATCTCTCTGTATTATAACATGAGGCTCAAATTTGTTTTTCAGTTTTTTTCTGTTTGAAAAGTGCTGAGCGAGTTCTTCCCTTCTTATTCTCCAGCTCCAGCTTTCTGCAGATTCTTTTAATCCTTTGCTTTGTCTTCTCGAACTGCCCTTTGAAATCTTCTGTTCAGCTCTTTTACTTCAGCATCTCTTCCTTTGTTGTGGCTTCTCGATGCTCTAGTGCAATTTTCAGTGTCTCTTCTGACATAGTGAAGCATGAGTAGCCTCTCTCTGATATCCTCTGCTTTCAGCCAAGAGCCCCCTGACGTCAGCAGTGGTGACCCTTGCTCTAAGTGATCTAAGACCATTTCTGAATCCAGCTTGAGTTTCTGTCACTTCTCTCTCCATGAACTACTGTTCCAGATCTTTAAAATTATCTTCAGATGCTGCACTGACTCAGAGCTCCCAGAGGAACACAGACCAGGAAGGAAGATGGGCTGTCCACTTCTGAAGGAACAGGCTTTGGAAAACCTTATGAATGACCTAGGCCAGCTAGGCGGTTAGGTGCGGTGCTGGACGAGGAAACCTTACACTGGAAGACATGAAAAAAGAGGCACAGTGGCCACAGCAGGGGGATCAGGTGCGTGGAGATGGTGGGGTTGGCTCGGGGGACAGCAAGGTCACGTTGTGGCCGTCTTCATGGCACATGCCGACAATGACAACAATAAAGATGTACACGGAAGCGAGACATAGGATCGACTCTGAAGTGCTGGATGCTTGTCTGTAAAGGGCGGCTTTCTCTTGTCAACGCCAAGGTTAAGTGCGGAGAGCCACGGTCACCATTCATTCAATGCCCAAACAGGCGCAGAGTTGACTTGAGGGCCAACTTCCAGCTGCTCGTGTCCTCCCCCACCTGCTTGGAGATCTTCCCCACACGTGAGATGCTCCAGGGTCACCCGAGCCACCCCTGCACCAGCCAGACCCCGGCTTGGCTGGTGGGGTCCCGTGCAGTGAGGCCCGGGTCTGGGCACCAGGTGGGCACTCCCCTGGCCCGCCATTGCTCTCAGGCGCTTTCTGTGAAGGACCCAAGCCCAGCCCACTGCGGCCGAGCTGCTCCAGCGGCAGAGCTGGGAAGTAGGGCGTTTGAGGAATATGCGTTTGAGGAATATGGTATTTCTAATCCCAGTCTAATACTATAGACTCTTTTTCTTATTTTACATTTCTGCCTCACTGCAAACATTGTTTTTCAATAACATTCCCTAGATTTACCTCTTTGGCTGACTTTACACGTGTTTCTTACGTAGCTCCTAACATTTTCCAGAATCGCAGTGCAAGGCTCCAACAGCTGCCATCCACCTCTGTGTGACTCGAAGGTTCCCCACCGTCCTCTCCTGCAGAACTGACCCCGTGAAGGGGGTGTCCACCTGTCGCTGGAGACTGCCCTGTCTCATGCTGGCTGTGCCACTGAACTGATGAACAGACACACTTGTTAAAAATTCCTTGTGTCGAATCAGATTCAACTGGCACGGGAGGAAATTGCCTCTCCTTCACCAGGGGAGCATCTGGGGGATTTGAACTGCATGCCTTCAGGATTGGAGCGCAGCTTCCTGCCACTAGGCCACTAGAGCTCCCTTGAACAGTTACATTTGTTTCTATTTATAGTCATCCTCACACTTAAAAAATATTTAAGATATTTACTTGCTTTGAAAACCAAATTATGTAAAAATTCTCCCCTCTTCTACACACAACCAACATCCTTTCTTAAAAAAGAGGATGGGCCCACGTTATAGCCACTGTTCTACATTTTGCTTTTTTAAAAGAAAGGTAATAGTTTACTCTGGTGATTCTGCCCCCCGCCCCCGTATCCTGTTCTGACCCTTGTGTGTGACCACTTCCGTCCACTGGGGGTCTGTGGTCACTCCTGCCTCAATGTGTGCCTTTGATGTACCTGCTGGTTTGATCTGCCGCTTCTGGTTCTGTATGGGTGATGGTGGACTTTGGAAGGGCACGGGCCTCAGCAGCCAGCCATCTCCAGGGCTGACGGCTGTCACCGCTGTGCCTGTTAGACACGTACGAGCAGAACCGAGATCAGCACCACTTTCCTCAACCCTGACCCTCGGAAAGGTGGGTGTGCTTCAGGTTACACAAGCAGCATGGCTGGGGGCTGGGTGTTGGCTCGGAGCACGTGTGCCTGGTGTGTCCACTCAGAGCAGCTGGCTACGTGGTGAGGCTCACACCTGTGTGACTAAGCACATGCTCACCTGGCTCTGTCTTAGGGGGCGGCTCTGGGCAGGTGCGTGGGTACGCATATGACCTTGACCTCTGACACCCCCACCCCTCCCCACAGCAAGCATATGACGTGCTGCTGCTGCTGCTGCTACTGGTGCTGCTTCTACAGGCTTGCCTCACCACCGGCACCGTCGTCCAGTGCGTGCGCTTCAAGGTCCAGTGTCGGCTGCAGGACGCACCCTGGGACTCTGTGCAGGCCAGCCGGCCAGAGCCCCCAGCAGGGGAGGTGAGCAGGGACCCCTGCCCTGTCTGTCCACTCTGGGACACCTGGTTGCTGCCAGGGAACCCTTGGTGGCCAGCCTCTGCCCTCTTTGGGGGGGGGTGAGTGGGAACCACGTCATGCCCCGTCCATCCACTGAGGGAACCCTGGTCCACACTGTGGGTCTTGAAATTGCTGACTTGAGCCCTTGGTAGGGAGGTGGTCAGAAACCATGAGGAGACTCCTGCCTATATGCCCTCTTTGGGAACCCTGGTCCATGTGAGAGGACCTCTGATTGCCACAGAGCCCTTGGAGGAGGGGATGGATGTGAACTTTGAGTGGATCACCCTGGCATCTGGGGCAGCCCTGGCCCGTGTGGCCCTCAGATGGCCCCTGTGACGTGGTGCTGGCTGGGATGGAAGCATGGTCCTTGTCAGCTCCTTGCCACTTTCTATGTGGAAGTGTCTTCCCCGATGCATTGAGGAGCTTACACATTCTGCAAGCTAGCTGGGCACAAACACTCCTGACACAAGCCTGTTGTGGAAAAGTCTGTCAGGAGGATTTGCTGACATGATGGCCTCACTGTCCCTGCAGGTGGCCAGGAGCCCACGCCAGGAGTTTGACAAGGACAAGGCCTGGCGGGCAGTGGTGGTGCAGATGGCCCAGTGACCATGCTGAGGACAGAGGACGGAGTGCAGCTGTCTTACTGCCCCCGCCTCCACTGTCCCACTCCCTAGGGTTATATGGGCTCTTTGTGCTTTGCCATGAATACAGGGAACCCCTAGAAACGCCCCCCCGGAGGTGTGGGTCTTTCTGAGAGAGCCCTTTAGGAGCAGCCCCCAGCCCTGCACTCAGGAGCTGGCACTCAGGGCCTGACACCTCTGCTCTGAGCTGCCCCCAGCCTCTGAGCTGCCCCAGCCCCAAGCTGCCCCAGCCTTGGGATGCCCCCAGCCCCCAAGCTGCCCCAGCCTCGGGGTGCCCCCAGCCCCCAAGCTGCCCCAGCCTCGGGGTGCCCCCAGCCCCCAAGCTGTCCCATCCTCGAACTGCCACAGCCTTGAGGTGCCCCCAATCCCCGAGCTGTCCCATCCTCGAGCTGCCCCAGCCACGAGCTGCCCCCAGCCCTTCCAGGCTTTCCTGGGAGTGCAGGTCACCCAGTGTTTGAGGTCTCGAGCCCTTGAATCCATGATAAAACAGACCCACTCTAGCCCCCTCACCTCCCAATAGCCTCAGTTCAGAACGTGTGTGAGGCTTTGGGAGTGGGCTGGGCCACACTCCAGCATCTGCTGTCCTCAGGACTCTGCTCCAAGGCCCAGGCTCCCTGGATGTCCAGCGTCCAGCCTTCCCTACTTCCATGCTAACTCAAAGCTCAAGTCAGTCCCCCAACCCAGCTGTGGTTCCCAGCTGTCCCCTCCCCGGTGGACTCCATCTCCCCCCTCTTCTGTGTTTCTCAGCTCCCTCCTCCTCTGTGGACCCCAGCTCCCTCAGTCACAGATCTTGACTTCATTCATAAGTTCCCTGCCTTTCTGGTCCTCTGTCCCTGTAGTCACGTGAGGCATGGGTCCTCATGCACCCTAACAGCCAGCGTTCTGGCCGCAGGGACAGTAAGGGAGTGCAAGCCGCGTCTTCTTCGGGTGCACACCATCTTGCCCCGGAGCACAGCTGTCCCTGGAGTCTTCCAGAAAACCCACTGCCTGCCTCCACCTCCAGAGGCTGCAACAGCTCCACATAGTCTGGGGTGTTTCCAGAGCAGGCAGTGTGGTCCCTGCTCTCAGTCGTGAGAGTCCAGTGTTGGTGAGATAGGGCCCTGTCACCTCTTGCATGACAAGGCCACTAGAACCCACTGAAATGAAGCTGGGACTGGAGGAGGGCAGAGGGGCCAAAGGGGGGACTTGCAGATTTCGCCCCCGTCTCTCACTTCCAGAACGGCTGGTATACCAGCCACCATCATTCTGTGTCACCTTTGGAAGCTGGCACTGTCTTCAGGGAAGCAGGAGGGAAGCCTGTCTGACACCTGGGAAGTGTCCAGTGGTTGCAGAGGAGGCTGGACCAGTGCCTGGGCTGGCCGCCCTGAGCGCCCCCTGGGTGGGCCACGGCCAGCCCTCCACCACTCCAGTGGCGAGACACTTCCACCAGGTTTCCAAGCCAGCGGGACCAGGGAGAGGTGGGCAGACTCCCGTCAGGACCACCTGCCCCACCTGCAGCTGCTGGCCAGAGCCCTTGGAGCCCACTCTTGCCAGGCATATTCTGAGAAGCAGACAGGAGAGCGGTGACAGGGACAGGACCGGGGCACAAGGGCGGTGAGGCAGTCTTGGAGCCAAGGCCAACTCCTTTCAGAGAGCTGGAAACACCCCAGAAATGTGGTTTTAAAAATTGTCACGTTTTCGTTTATTCGGGTTTTAAAAGCTGTACTTGTTTCTTTTCATTCCATTTTGCTTGGTGTGTTTTAACGCTGCTTCAACAATAAACGCTAACTCCGGGGGGCTGGCCTCTTCCACGCGCCTCAGGGGCCCGGGCCTGGGTCCTGAGGGGCTCACAATGGGACAGACACCCATGAACCCCATAAAGGGGTGACCAGGCCCTCCTCCAGCCAGAGATCTGAGGGAGACTCCTGGTGAGGGGTGCATTACTCCCAGGGTGAAAGCAGATAATGAGTCTGGGGAGAAGGAGAAGCCCTGCCTCCTCTCTCCCAGGCTGCCCTGGGGTCACTTTCAAGTGGGAGCAGCAGCTCCTTTCTGAGTTAAATGCAAAGTAACAGGGATTTGAAGCCAGGACCCTTGTGTGGGAAGCCCTGGTGACCCAGTGGTTAATGATTCCAGTTCAAACCCAGCTGCCCTGTGTGAGGAAGCTGTGGTCGGCTGCTTCTGCAAAGATGAAAACGTCAAACCCTATTTGTTGTCGTGGGGGCTGGGACAGGGATCTGAAGGGCACTCTGTGGAAAGTAGATCTGAACTCTGTCCTATCCTCTGTGACATCTTTGTCCTGTCATGTGCCACTCTTCTTCTTGACACAGTTGGGTTCATTGTTCTAATAAATGGAGGGTCTTCCTCCGTTCACTGACCCTCCACTTTCCAAACATGATGTCCCTTTCCGAGGAATAACCTTGCCTAGTCACACACCCAAAGGATGAGACACACATTCAAGAAATACACACTCACCGCACCAAAATAATTAGTGGTCACGGGAATGTTTCAGGAGGAACACGGCCACCAGACTCCCTTCACAAAGATTACCACCCCAGAAACCAGAGGGGACTCCTGTGGGATTTACTGCCTCTGAAAACCAGCTGGAGGGTCATTCCTGGGTCCATTCTAACACAAAGGTAAACAAAACAATGAAACCAGCGGAGAGCAGGCTGCCCTGAGGGTCCCTGGGTGGCCCCATTAAGACCACAGGCTGCTGAAAAGGGGTGAACCTCAGGACCAAGGCTGAGTGAACTGTTCCAGAAACATCCACCTGGAGGACCCTCTGGGGCAGGCGTATCTAGAATCACCAGCGGGGAGCTTCCCACAGCCACAGACAGGCTTTTCAGAAGGCCAGGGGGGTGTAGGTTTAGGGTAAAGGAATCCTGGAATCTAACCTTATATCCAGTGAAGGAGTGACCGGGGTGGAGGCCAGCGGAGAGCGGGGCCTGGACAGAGGGTCAGCAGAGAGGGCCCTTCGGAAGGTGAAGGCCGCTGTGGTTCCTGCGGGTCCGGTCTGGGGCTGCCCCAGCACTTCACTTCCAGCCCCCAGCCCTGCACCACCCGGCTGGGCTGCACCTGCCTGAGTCGCGCTGCCCAGCTGTCCTGCATTTGGGCTCGGGGCGCGGATCTCAGGGAGGTGGGGGTGGGGGGAGAAGCTGAACTAGGTAAGGAGGGAGGGGGCAGGGTGTGACCCGAAGGTCTTTATGACTTGGGGCGTCCTCAGGCCGAGGGTCTTTGTGACTTGGGGCGTCCTCTGACCATGAGGGCGGGTTTGTTTGATGAGGTAGGGCAACGTGGCCACACGCCCAAGGACACCATGACCCAGGCGATCCAGCATCTCGGGGCCCGATCCTGCGCCAGCTCTGGCCTCACCCTGGGACGCCCCCCCGAGCCCCCTCCGAGGCCCCGGCGCCCAGGCCCTGGCCACCATTCCCGGTCCCCAGGGCCCCCCAGGCCGCGCAGCCCCACGCCCCAGGCCGCCCGCCAAGCAGGGGCCCCCCGGCTGCGCAGGCCCCCTCGCCTGCGTCCCCAAGCTGCAAAACGCGCCTCGCCCCCACCTGTTGCCCCCGGCAACCGCTGGACGCCCCGTGGCGCGGAGGGGGTCACGGTCAGCACGGCGGGAGGAGTCCCAGGTGAGCACCTCCCCGCTGCCCTCCGAATCCCAGGCCCGCCCACTCTGCCGACTCTCTCAGAACCCCAGCCCTACCCTGCCGCAGTCCCTCCCTCTGTCCCGCAGGGACACCAGCCCCGCCCTTCAGATCCCTGTCCCAGCCCACATACCCCCAGCCCCAGCCCCCCTCTCCCGGGGCCTCAGAACCTGGGGAGTCGCCCCGCCCCGCCTGTCTTTGCAACCCTGGTGCTCCCCCACTTCCACTCCCCACGCCGAGCTGGGCATGCAGGATCCAGATCCGCCCCCTCTCCTCCCTCCCTGGAGTCTTCCTCCAAGCCCGCCTCTGCCCCGGAGACCCTGAGACCTGGGCCTGTCCACCCTCCAGCCGAGTCCTGGGGCGCCCTCCCGCTAGGTCACTTCCTCCTGTAGATGCTGGCGCCATGGAGGAGGGTAGGGACGAGCCTCCGGGGAACCTGGCCATGGAGCCCGAGCATGCCGAGAGGAAGCGGGCCTCCTGCACCTTGTCGGGCGAAGACAGAAAAGACAACAGTGAGTACCGGGCGCCACCCACTCGCTCTCCAAGCTCCACTGGTTCCCCAGGACAGGTGTGAACGGACAACACCGGGGCGTATAGGGCCTTCCTGTTCCAGCAAGGTGGGCCAGGCCTGTGGGCATTTGTCCAGAACAGTTCAGGGACCAGACACCCTGAGGCCCAGCTTCCTCTTCCTCAGACTTGGCCTGCCCTCCAGAGTGGCCACCTCAGGACTCGGGCTTCCTGGGGAGAGCCAGGTGGGGTGAGAGCATGAGAGGCACCCACCCCTGCACTTGTACCATAAACAAGGACGTCTGTCTCCCCACCTTTTGGTCAGACACCTGTGTGTTTGTTGGCAAGTATTCAGGCCCTGAGAGCAGCACACAGGTACTCAGATAGTGTCCCCGACTCCTGCGTTCCTGGTGTTCCACACCCTCAGCTGTGGTTGACATTGTTGGTCTGGTGGACTTAAACTTGACCCTTCTGGAGTGTTCTTAAACAGCTCCCAGACTGAGCAGGTGCTGAGCTCTGTCCATGTTCTTTTTGGCCATTTTGAGCTCCTCTTTCGTGGATGACCACAGCAATGGTTAACTTGGGTGGTGGGCGTTACTGGTTTGTAGAAAATATGTGCATTCTAGAAAGACTCCTTTGTCAGATGTTAGGCACTACCGAGTCTAGTATGACTCCTAGTAACCCCGTGAACAGACCTGAACCCTGTCCTGTCCGGTGCCGTCCTCATCATCTCAGACACACTTGAGCCCATTGCTGTCGGTCTATCTGGTTGAGGGTCTTCCTCAACCAAATGAGGGGTGTGGGAGGAGGAGTGATGTGGGAGGAGGGGTTCAGAAAGAAGGGGTGAGGGAGAAGGGGTCAGAGAGGATGGGTGTGGGAGGAGGGATGCGGGAGGAGGGGTCAGAGAGGAGGGTCAGAGAGGAGGGGTGTGGGAGGAGGGATGCGGGAGGAGGGGTGAGGGAGAAGGGTGAGGGACGAAGGTGAGGGAGGAGTGGTGTGGGAGCAGGGGTGAGGGAGGACGGGTGCAGGAGGAGGGGTGAAGGATGAAGGTGGGGGAAGAGGGGTGCAGGAGGAGGGGTGCGGGAAGAGGGGTGTTGGAGCAGGTGTAGGAAGATGAATGTAGGAGGAGGGGTGTGGGGAACCTGGGGGTGGTGTAGGGCGAGTGTAACAGGAAAACACAGTCAGTTGGGGTGAAGCAAGGGCCGCAGTCCTGAATGGCCTTGGACCCCTGAAGTCCTCCTCCCACTCACGTAACAGGTGTGCGTATGGCTGGAAGCTTTGGTCCTGATGTCTGTTTTCTCTTACAGGACCAAAACGAGGGATTTCCCAAGACTTGACTTCCTTCCCTAAACTAGACAGATACAGAATAGCCCGACAGTTAACTGAGAAAGCCGTCAGGGTAAGTGTCTTGGGATGCAGTGAGGAGAAACAGAAGCTGGTGTTGGAATTTGAAGTTTGGGGCATCCCCAGGGTGAGGCTGCATGCTGTGGTCACCGTCTGCCCAGCTTCTATGATGTCCAGCTTCTGCCCTGCCCTCTGACCTGCCAGCCACAGTCAGGGCTGCCATGCTGGGACTTTCTGTGCTTGTTTTATTTCACGGAACTTATGAGTAATGGTTTCCAGATTCTCAAAGTACAGGGGACACGCCCCAGACCACGTAATGTGTGAGGGACGCCTGGGTTAGCACCAGCTCTACCTCTTGCCTGGTACTTCCTGGGTCCCAAAGGGAGCTCTGGTGGCCTCGTGGGTAGGACATTGCGCTGCCAACTCCAAGGTGGTGATGGTGGTTGATGTTATGTGCTGTCACATCAGTTACGATTCATAGCGACTTTGTGCACAGCAGCTCTGAACCCTGCTCCATTCTGAGCCCGTCTCACTCTCTCTGACACACTACCCTCATTACCCCAGTTATCATGTCGATCCATCTTATCCAGGGTCTGTCTTTCCTGTACTGTGTCCCTCAACCCTCCAAGCATGACATTCTCCTCCAAAAACTGGTCCCTCCTAGCTACATACCCGAAGTATGTGAGAAGGATCTTAAATATCCTTGTCTCCAAGGAGCAGCCTGGTTTCACCTTCTCCAAGACAAACCTGTCCTCTTGACATTCATGGTATGTTCAATACTCTTCTCCAGCACCACAACTCAAAGACATAAATTTTTCTCCTGTCCTCCTTGGTCATTGTTTAGCCCTCTGATGCATAGCAAGTAATTGCAAAGACCATGGCCTGGAACAGGTGCACCTTAATCTCTAGATTGACATCCTTACTCTTCAGTACTATGGAGAGGTCCCTAAGAGTAGATTTTCCTAATGCAATTCACTTTTTGATTTCCCGACTCCTGGTGCCAAGAGTGTTGATTATAGAGCCGAGCAAGCTATAACTATTAACAGCCTCAATCTCTATCCACCTATCATGATGCAACCAATTAGCCCAGTGGTGAGAATCCTTGTTTTCTCGATGTTGAGCTCCAATTCATATTGCAAACTTTAGTCCTTGACCCTCTGCAGCAAATGCTTCCTTCATGTCCTCCTCAGTTGCAGAAAGCAAAATTTTGTCATCTGCATAGTGCAGTTTGTTGATGAGTCTTCCTCCAATCCTGATGCCACATTTCTCCACATAAAGTCCAGCCTCTCAAATAATCTGTTACACACACAAATTGAAAAGGTATGGAAACAGGACCCGTCTCTGACTCACTGCTTTTCTGATTTTGAACCATGCAGTTTGCTTTGGTCTGACAACTGCCATGTATAGATAGGCTTTGTGTGAGCACGATCAAGTGTTATGGGATTCCCATCTTCTCAGAGTCAGCCACAGTTTGTTATGATCCACACAGTCAAATGCCTTTGCATAGTCAATGAAACACAGATAGACATTCCTCTGGTACTCACTACTTGCAGCCAAGATGCATCCGACATTGGCAATGATGTTCTTAGTGCTATGGCCACTTCTACAGCCAGCTTGTATTTTTGGTAGTTCTCTGACTATGTGCTGTTCCAGTTGCTTTTGCATAATCAGCAGGATTTTGCTTGCGTGCGATATTAGTGGTGTTGTTATTGTTGTTGTTATGTGCCGTCGAGTTGCTTGCAACTCATAGCGACCCCATGTACAACAGCCCTAAACTCTGCTCTATCCTGTGTCAACCGCACCGCCTCTGACACTCCCATCCCGATTACCCCAGTCACTGAATCAATCCACCTCATAGAGGGTCTTCCCCTCTTGCGCCGTTGCTCCACCCTCCTAAGCATGATGTCCCTCTCTAAGGACCTGTCCCTTCTTACCACATGTCCAAAGTATGTCAGATGAAGCCTCAGAATCCTTGCCTCCAAGGAGCAGCCTGGTTTAACCCTCTCTAGCATGAATCTGTTTGTCTTCTTGGCAGTCCATGGTACATTCAATACTCTTCTCCAGCACCACTGCTCAAAGGCGTCAATTCTCCTTCTATCCTCCCTAGTCATTGTCCAGCTCTCTGATGCATAACAAGCGATTGCAAAGACCATAGCCTGTATCAGATGCACCTTAGTCTCCAGAGTGACACCGTTGCTCTTGAGTACTTTAGAGAGGTCCCTAACAGCAGACTTTCCCATCACAATACATTTTTTTTATTTCCTGGCTACTGATGCCAAGAGTGTTGACCGTGGAGCCAAGCAATCTAAAGCTATGAACAATCTCAATCTCTTCACCATCCATCCTGATGCTGCCAATTGGTCCAGTGGTGAGAATCTTTGTCTTCTTGACATTGAGCCTCAATCCATACTGTATGAAGGCTGCAGTCCTTGACCCTCTGCAGCAAGCATTTCAGGTCCTCCTCAGTTTTAGCAAGCAGGGTTGTGTCATCTGCATAACACAGATTATTGATAGATCTCCACCAATCCTGACCCCACACTTCTCATAGAGCCCAATTTCTCAGACTGTTCTGCATACAGGTTGAAAAGGTATGGAGACACATCCCTGGCATACACCTTTTCCAATTTTGAACCATACAGTATTTCCCTGCTCTGTTAGTGATATTGTTCTGTAATTTCCACACTCTGTTGGCTCACCTTTTTTGTAATGGGAATAAATATGGATCTCTTCCAGTCAGTTCCAGATTTCTTGGCATAACCTGGTGAGCATGTCCAGGGCTGTATCTGTGTATTGAAATATATCAATTGGTATTCCATCAATTCCTGGGGCCTTGTTAATTTTGGCAATTCCTTAAGAGCAGCTTGAACTTCCTCCTTCATCACCATTGCCTCTTGATCATATGCTGTTTCTATGAAATTCTTCTGTGTCAGCCAGGCCTTTTTGGTACAGGAACTCTGTGTACGCCTTCCATCTTCTTTTGATGCTTCCTGGATCATTCAACATTCTGCCCGCAGCATCCTTAAGTACTATGACTCGAGGCTTGAATTTGTTCTCCATTTCCTTCCTTCAGCTTAAGAAATGCTGAGTGAGTTTGGCTTTTGATTTTCTGACTCCAGCTTTTTGCACATTTCTTTATTATACTTTGCTTTGTCTTCCCGCGCTGCCCTTTGAAATCTTCTGTTCAGTTCCTTAACTGCCTGATTTCTTCCCTTTGTTTTGGCTTCTTGTGCTCTAGTACAATTTTCAGAGTCTCTTCTAACATCCTTTTCAGCCTTTTCTTCCTCTTCTGTCTTTGTAATGACCTTTTGCATTCTTTATGGATAATATTCTTCATACCCTCCCACAGCTCACCTGACCTTCACTCATCCGTGTTCAAGGCCTCAGATCTGTCCCTGAGATGGTCTTTAATTCAGGGACAGACTCACGGCCAGTTTTTGGTTCTTGTGCATCTTATTTTTCTTCAGCTTCAAGTTTGAACTTGTATGTGAGTAATGACAAGAAGCTGCACTGCAATCCCGAAGGCACATGGTTTGAATCCACCAGCTGCTCCATGGAAAGTGGATGGACAATCTCCTCCCATGCAATTAACTGCCTCTGAAAACCCACTGGAGGGTCAGCTATGACTTGACGGTACACAATAACAACAATTCTAAGGTGGGTGGTTCAGATCCGCCAGGTACTTTATGGGAGGAAGATGGACAGTCTAGTCCTGCAAGATTGGTTTTCAGATGCCAGGTATGAGTCAGTCCTGACTCGATGGTAGTTATTTGTTTTGTAATATCTCAGAGACTGTGTACAGTTATGAAGTTTGTGCTTCTGATTTGTCTGTACATCCTGGTGAGGAAGGGAGGAGGCTCAGGAAGGGACAGGCATTTAGTGGCTCACATACCATCGTGGGTTGGTTTCCCATGGCCCAGTCCTCATGCCCAGGATGGCAGATATCATCTGCCTGAGTGGAGGGGCTTTGCACCTGAGTGGAGGAACCCCAGAATTGTGCCTCAAAATTTCTACCGAGCCACGGCACCCCCGCTTCTCCTCCCTGAGATACTGCCTTTCACTCTGGGGCGCGAGGTCCTTTCTTGGGGAGAGGGGTGTCCCTGACGTTGGAGGGACCTTGGTTCCGGGAAGCAGGAAGGCAAGAATCCCTGGTGGCACACCATTGAAAGCTTGGTTGCTGACAGAAATGTCAGAGGTTCTAACCTACCAGTGTATCCGCAGAAGGACGAAACAGCCTTCTTCAGAGACTAGGCAGCTCTGCAGGGCTGCTCTGCTCTGTCCTGCAGGTTTGCCCTGGAAGAGTCTGTTGAACACACCACCTTTTCTTCTGAATGAAGCTGATGTCTCTCATCTACAACAGCGCCCACAGAAGGGGCAGACCTCTCGGGGAGGAGGCAGCTCTGTCGTCCAGGAGGCCTGAGACCCGCAGAACTCCTCAGAGGCCTGTCATCCAACTCTTACTCGTATCAGAGAGACATCCTCCTCTTAGGTGTTGTCCAAGCTACAGCATACAGAGGACCAAGCCCTACGTACCCAGCTCAGTGGCCTGGGCTTGGACAGAGACGCAGAAAACCACCCGTTCGCCAAACTTTCCTCTCCCATCACTCTTCCGATGCACCTCAGCTTTAATGACTAGTGGTAGAAGAACTGTGCTGTCAACCCAAAGACACACAGTTCGAGGCCACCAGCTGCTTCATCGGAGGAGGATGGCAGTCTCCTGTGCGATTTACAGCCTCTAAAAACCCACTGGAGGGTCAGCTGTGGATCAGATGACAGACCTTGTATGTGTGGAATCTTATGTGTGGCTGTTCCCTATCCACGTACTCCTACAGCTGTTTTGAAATAATATTCAGGAAGACTTTGCTTGTGTGTGGAGTTAACGATACTGTTTGAAAATTTCCAGTGTGTGGATCCCTCTTTGGAACAGGCGTGGACGGGGCCGCACCTGCTGACACCTTGGTCGCTGGCCCGTCAGTTCTCCGGGCCTCCTTTTCTGCCTTCATTCTGGCCTTTGGCTTCTGCCGTGGGTCCCACGGGCCATGTGCTGCTTCTGCATCA